AAGCAAAAGGAAACAGTGATAAGGGGAGATATGCCCAGTTAAATGCGCAATTCCAGAGGTTAGCCAGAAGAGATAAGGAACTATTTTTAAATAAGCAATGCATGGAAGTGGAAGAAGACAACAGAATAGGAAGGACAAGAGACCTCTTCCAGAAAATTAGAAACATTGGAGGTAAATTTCATGCAAAAATTGGTATGATAAGAAACAAAGATGGCAGGGACCTAACAGAAGCTGAAGAGATCAAGAGAAGGTGGCGAGACTATACAGAAGATCTGTATAGGAAGGATAATAATATTGAGGATAGTTTGACGGTGTGGTGAATGAATTAGAACCAGACATCCTGAGGAGTGAGGTTGAATGGGCCTTAAGAAGCATTGCTAACAACAAGGCAGCAGGAGATGACGGGATCCCAGCTGAACTGTTTAAAATCTTAAAAGATGATGCTGTCAAGGTGATGCATGCCATTTGCCAGCAAATATGGAAAACACAAGACTGGCCATCAGACTGGAAAAAATCAACTTATATCCCCATACCAAAAAAGGGAAATGCGAAAGACTGCTCAAACTTCCGTACAGTGGCCCTTATTTCTCATGCCAGTAAGGTAATGCTCAAGATCCTGCAAGGAAGACTCCAGCAATACATGGAGCGAGAGAGTTGCCAGATGTTCAAGCTGGGTTTAGAAAAGGCAGAGGAACGAGAGACCAAATTGTAATTAATTGTTTTAATTGTTGTTTTGATTTTTTAATATTTTGATTGTACTGTTCATTGACTATTCTAAAGCCTTTGACTGTGTGGATCATAATAAATTGTGGCAAGTTCTTAGTGGGATGGGCATCCCAAGCCCCTTGTCTCTCTCCTGAGGAATCTGTACAAGGACCAAGTAGCAACAGTAAGAACTGACCATGGAACAACAGACTGGTTCAAGATTGGGAAAGGCGTACGGCAAGGCTGCATCCTCTCACCCAACCTTTTTAACTTGTATGCAGAACACATCATGCGATGTGCGGGGCTGGATGACTGCAAAGCTGGGGTGAAAATTGCTGGAAGAAACATTAACAACCTCAGATATGCAGATGACACCACTCTGATGGCCGAAAGCGAGGAGGAGCTGAGGAGCCTTCTAATCAAGGCGAAAGAAGAAAGCGCAAAAGCCGGGTTGCAGCTAAACGTCAAAAAAACCAAGATTATGGCAACAAGAATGATTGACAACTGGAAAATAGAGGGAGAAAATGTGGAGGCCGTGACAGACTTTGTATTTCTAGGTGCAAAGATTACTGCAGATGCAGACTGTAGCCAGGAAATCAGAAGACGCTTACTTCTTGGGAGGAGAGCAATGTCCAGACTCGATAAAATAGTAAAGAGTAGAGACATCAGACTGGCAACAAAGATCCGCCTAGTCAAAGCCATGGTATTCCCTGTAGTAACCTACGGATGTGAGAGCTGGACCTTAGGGAAGGCTGAGCGAAGGAAGATCGATGCTTTTGAGCTGTGGTGTTGGAGGAAAGTTCTGAGAGTGCCTTGGACTGCGAGAAGATCCAACCAGTCCATCCTCCAGGAAATAAAGCCCGACTGCTCACTGGAGGGAAAGATACTAGAGACAAAGTTGAAGTACTTTGGCCACATCATGAGGAGACAGGAAGGCCTAGAGAAGACAATTATGCTGGGGAAAGTGGAAGGCAAAAGGAAGAGGGGCCGACCAAGGGCAAGATGGATGGATGGCATCCTTGAAGTGACTGGACTGACCTTGAGGGAGCTGGGGGTGGTAACGGCCGACAGGGAGCTCTGGCGTGGGCTGGTCCATGAGGTCACGAAGAGTCGGAGACGACTGAACGAATGAACAACAACAACAATTTGCTTCTGACAGACGCAGCATCATATATGATGGCTAGTTTGGTCCTGCAAACTGTAGGCATCAAAATACAAGATGTCCCTTAACTGCTGGATCATTTATTTATTTATTTATTTTGCATTTCGTTTCTTCAAAAAAAACCTACTCTTAACAGGAATAAAGGTTCCAATGCAAGTTGAGAATCTCTTATCCAAAACCCAAGAATTTCATAGCATTGAGCCATAACAATTAATGTGGTATCGAATTCTTACCAGTGTGGCTACAGCTTAGGATTAGATTGTCGACCTGATCCACAATGTTATGCATTAGATAAATCAAAACCCTCAGACAGTCACCTCACATACATTTAAATGAGAAATGGATGGACTAGAAAGAGGATGGAGAAAAGGATTTTTAAAAACAAAATTGAGGGAGAAGTTGATTCACAATTGCTATTAGAAAAGAAATCTGTGATACCGAAGATCCATCTATCAGGCCAGACTGCTGAGGCAAGAACTGCAGTAATTCAAGAAACAATTAGCTGTCACTCCTGAGGGGAAGCAGGCTGTGAAAAGTAGTTAGATGGTGATATAATCTTTGTATTATGAGCACTTTGAGAAAAAAAAATCTCAGTTCTGAGAGTAAAAGAATTGAGAGTCCGTCCTCCCTAAGGGCCCAATCAAATGGCTCTTTCCAGTTGTCAAAATGAACCCTGTGTTGTTTTTAATTCAAACTGTGTGATGGATTGCTATTCAATGCCCTTCTGAACCTCCTTAAGGTCATGGTAGCTGCCTTCAAACAAAAACCTAAACCATACTTTAGTTAGATTTATAGCAGATGGCAAATCATAAAGGGACACACCACCACCATTCTCATAAAAATTCACATTTTACAGTGATATGTTTTTTCACTATCATACAACCCCCATATTCCTGGAGGACACATTTCAGAACTTCCCGTGGTACATGAAACCATTGATACAGGTGGAGTATCCTGTATACAAAATCTTTCAGATCAACTTACATTGGATATAAGTTTTGAAAAAACATACATCATGAGATATCTTGGAAATGGGACCCGGTCTAAACATGAAATTCAATTCATACTTTGTCCATATAGCCTGAAGGTAATTCCATGCAATAGCAGTAATAATTTTGCGAATGAAACTATGTGTACACTGGACCATCAGACACACAGAAAACTGGGCGACTTGGAAGGCGCTGAACAGACTGCGCTCTAGCACCACGAGATGCAGAGCCAACCTTAAGAAATGGGGCTACAAAGTAGAATCCACGACATGCGAGTGTGGAGAAGAGCAAACCACTGACCACCTGCTGCAATGCAACCTGAGCCCTGCCACATGCACAATGGAGGACCTTCTTGCAGCAACACCAGAGGCACTCCAAGTGGCCAGATACTGGTCAAAGGACATTTAATAGAATACCAAGTCTGCAAACTTTGTGTTTTGTTTATTTGTTTGTTTGTTTGTTTTAATGCAATGCAACTGTTGTGGTTCGCTCCTGACACGATAAATAAATAAACCATCAGAAAGCAAAGGTGTTACTATTTCAGTCACTCGTGTAGATAATTTTGGATTTTAAAAACATTTTAGATTTCAGGGCTCTCAGCCTGTAAAAGGGAGCCTCCGGTGGCGCAGTGGGTTAAACCCCTGTGCTGGTAGGACTGAAGACCGACAGGTTGCAGGTTCGAATCCGGGGAGAGGCGGATGAGCTCCCTCTATCAGCTCCAGCTCCTCATGCGGGGACATGAGAGAAGCCTCCCACAAGGATGATAAAAACATCAAAATCATACAGGCGTCCCCTGGGCAACGTCCTTGCAGACGGCCAATTCTCTCACACCAGAAGCAACTTGCAGTTTCTCAAGTCGCTTCTGACACGACAAAAAAAAAAAAGCCTGTAAAAGCAAACCCTATTATTTTCAATGGGGCAAATGACAAGAAATAGAGAGAAACAGGTATGGCCTGTACAGGAGGCCCTTAATGAATAAGTGGGCATGTGAATTAATGAAACTGCATATACTAGATCTTCAGAAATTAGGATCATAGTGTATTTTGGGCTTTGGAGATGTACGGTTGAGTCAACAACATCTCTCATAGTTCTCTGAAGTAGCAAATCTTTTTTAATTACCAATATTTCAAAATCCACTGTTCAGAAGGACTTGGGGGCCTTCTGGCTGCACAAAAGTCTTCTAGATAATATGTGGCTCCCGCTACAGATTTTCTTAACCTTATTCTGTCAAAAGGAAGGCAAACATATTTCAGATTGTGAGTCTAATTTAAATCTCTGTAACCAACCTTCCAAAGGTTAAAAGGGTGAAGTCAAAAATAAACCGGACCATCCATATTTGTGAGTTTTGCTTCCATGGATTGAATCAATCATGGTTATAAAATGTTTGTGGAGTGGGATCAAAACTAAACTTTGATTTGTTGCACATCGAACACTTCACTGATATGTAGAATATCCTACTATAGCCTCCCACTAATTGACAGATCCTCAAGGCTCTCTCCGATACTGATGTGAGTTGTTCACTATTTTATATCAGGAATGCAATTTTAGTATACCATTGTATTTAATGGAACTTGAGCAAAAATCCTTGGATTGTGCAATCCATGGGTGGTCCTAGACCTAACCTCATATTATAGCCAGTGAGCAAGCCTTGGATAAAGGAACTCAACCTTTCAGAATGTGAAGAAACCACCTCCTTCAGCAAGACTGGGGGATGACCAAATGATGATGTCAGAACAGGTTGCATGGTCTCCTGTAAAACTAGGTAGGGCTGGATGTAAACACTGTGAGATTTAGCACTAAGACTTGGTGTTTCCCACTCCTTCTCTATAGTAAAGTGCCATTGGGACCATGTGATCCCCATCTCATTTATTTTGGAATGTCTCTTTCCAAAAGATTTTTTATATATTCACCTTCTTCAAAATTCCAGCTATCAGATTCAGAATAAAACCTCCAACTGAAACAGACTTCTTCCAAACTCACAGAATGTCATCCAAATACAATGAATTTATTTTGAGCAGAGCATTTCTTCCCCCGCTCCTCTTGGCACGTAATTACATTGTCTTTCAGTCCAAAGTGAACCAAACTAATTATTTATTATACTATATGCTTTAATACATAAAATATGCATTGTCTTGTGCTTTCAGGATATTTTTCCTCACCAAAATAAGAAACGTCCCCAGAGGAGCCTTCTCAGGATTTGACGAAGTCGAAAAAATGTATGTAACCATCTCTATTCACTCAATACATCTTATTTTATGCAATGTTTTATAAGGCATTTGTCTTGGTCCACAGTTATTCTCTCATTCTGCTTTTAATGATGTTATCTCTCCATCTGTCCCTTAGGAGTGGGTTCTTCATCTAACCACAGACTTTGTAACAGGAAAACAAAAATGATACAGGATGAATCTTCCTTATCCAAAATGCTTGGGACCATTTTTAATTCAGCTTTTGGAATGTCTGTATTGGCATATATGTAGTGAACAAGGGATGAGGAAAGGCAGCTAATCACACATCCAGCACCCACTGAGTCTTTCCTCAAAGAGTCATGATGACAGGAAGTGAAGAGCCAAACATAGGGAGAGACCCCACTTATATAAGGGCCTGCAAAAAGCCAACATCCCATATGGTTCCCCAGCATCAGATCACACTCCACCCTTTTAACAAAGTAGTTGAGAATGGAAGGGAAGACACAATATTTTTCTTCACTCAGGTCTGGATACAGGCGGGGCCAATTGTGTTGCTCTACACTTGCCCACTCACCCTGTTTTTAGACTGCCTGCAAAAGCAATTTTGCACAAGCAGTCCCCAAGTTATGAGCAAGATAGGTTCTATAGGTTTGTTCTTGAGTGTGAATTTGTTTGTAAGTTGAAATAGCTAAATTATTAAGTGTAACTCCAGCTATATATTAGCTTTGGATCACATAGGTCTGTGCCCCTGTTCAGAAGATTTCACCTCATTTTCTGTCTCTGTGGTTATTTGATTTTGACAAATATGGCTTGTTGCGGAAACTAGGATTGGTGAGAAAGCTTCAGTGGAGATACCTTTTCCTCATGATAACTCTTCCAGGAGTGAATTTCCCTTCCAAGGGGTAGATGGCAAAAGGGGGTTGGACTGCATGGCCTTTAGGGGTTTTTCCAACTCTCTGATTCCATGCCTTCTCTGAGTAGAGTGGCAAAGATGAGAGGTTAGTTCAACACAGGACAACCCAATCTCTTCTACTCTCTACCACTTCTGGCCTTTCTCAGTGCCCAAGCAAGAAAACGGCAGCCACAGCAGCCACATTCAGTTGGACCCATGAGGTGGTGTAGGCGCTTTCTCCTTATTGTGGAATGATCATCAATCTATCCATAAATCAGATCAAAATCCATAATTTTGGCCCCAAAACTTGCCTTCAACATATAACTGAGGTCAATTTATACACGAGTATTTAGCTTACTCAGCAAAGGGACTTATCCATATTTCCAGGAGACAAAGTTTTTAGCAGACCAACAGATACCACTTACATTCTTTGTGTATATGTCTGTGTGTATCTTTTGCACATGGACTGCACTGGGTGGATGTTCATATTTAGGACTATCCCATAGGCCTAACAGCTCATCTAACAGAATATTAGCTATGGATCTCCTTCCCGGGCTAATGCCATCCCTTCAAAGTTTTCCCGAGAGCAGGGAAATACAGCTATTTCACTTTGGGTGCATCTACACTATAGAATGAATGCAGTTTGACACTATTTTAACTTCCATGACTCAATGCTATGGAATTCTGGGATTTGTAGTTTGGTGAAGCACCAGCATTATTTGGCAAAGTAGACAGTGGGCTTTAAAAAACCACAATTCCCATGTTTCCACAGCATTGAACCATGACAGGTAAAGTAGTGTCAAAACTGCATTAATTCCATAGTGTAGGTGCACCCTTGGTCCTTGGTTCTTAAATACTAGGGTGTTCATTCAGGTTGTTCTTAGAGGTCTTTAATTTGCTTTCAGTGGATTTAGAATTATTTTTAAAGAGGGGCTTTAGTTTGTTTCCAATTGCTTTTAGCAATATATAATAATTTTTTACATGTGATTACTGGCGATTCATCACTTCAGGGGCCCTGGTGTATTGAGAGACAGTAAACAAATGGCACAAATAAATAAATAATACACCTCTTTGCCTGCGGCAGCAAAATTCCCCAGCTCTGCTCAGGAGACCTGACCTTACAGTATGCAAGTTTCTCCATTCCCTCATAATTTGATGTTCGATCCTGCAGTAGAACTGTCTTTTATGTTTTTCCAATGTAAAAAACATTTCTCTCAGTGGGGGAAAAAAACCTTCATTCTCCCTTGCAGAATTCAGCACAATGGTGTTTTCTCTCCGGCTCTTCTTTTGTGGATAGCGCCGCAGCTGGGTTCTTGAGAGCCTATTTGAAGCTATCCTTGCATCTCATAGACATGAATTTTTTAATTCACTCAACCTCTGCTGCAAATGCATCCATTGTGGGACTTTTTTTTTTAAGAAAAAAAAAAGCATTTCAGCTACGGGCTAATGCAAGTGTTCTGTTATGTGTATTGGAGTATCTAATTTGTATACTCTAGGCAAAATGTCTTTTACCACATGGAGGCATCATATTATTAATAGCCATTCCCTTTAAATAGCCTACCGTCGAGTTTAATCTCATTTTGCGCCCATGTCTTTGTGTTCATGATCTTACGGGGCAGAAGCACGAAGCGCACCCAAGGGGTCCCCTGTTTTATATGCAAATATATCACTTGATTAGATAGTTTGTGTCCCTACATTACCATGAATACTTCCCGATGAATGTTTTATGGGTGATATTTTTGATTTGTGAGCTATTTCACATTTCATTGCTACTTCTCCTCTGCAGATGCCATTGATGCTGATTGGTCTCATTTGCATATTCATCACTCGCCCTTCCATTTTCATTGCCGCTGTGCTGGAAATCTTCTCCCTACAGAGATGCCACTGCGCAGGGCTTAGTTCTTAGATGAAAGTTACTTCCCCTGTTCAGGGTTTTGCTTGGTTCGTTGTCTTTTGTTTATTGGTTATTTGCCACTTTCATCACATAGTCTTGCTCCCCAGATAATTGCCTCGTTTCCCAGACTTTAGGCGAGGGGGACAAATGGCTTCTGGGGCCCTTTCATACTATCTGCAGTGCTGTACTCCATGTATATACCAATGTATTTATGTACCAACATCCTAGGAAATTTAGGTTTTGTACTTTAGTGGGACACAAGAGCTCCTAGTCTGAGAAGTCTAAGGTTGTATCTACCCTGCAGAATTAAGCAATTTAACCCCACATTAACTGTCATGGCTCAATGAGATGGCATTCTGGGATCTGTAGGGGTTTTTTTAAAAAGACATTTAACCTTCTCTGTCAAACAGCTCTGGTGCTACAAGAAACTAAATTTCTCAAAATTCCATAGGGTAGAGGTATGGCTGTTAAAGTGGTGCTAAACTGTGATAATTCTACACTGCACATGGGAGGTAAATGTCCCTTCCTAAACTGCTCCTTCTAGAATTCTACACGATAGGCCCATAGCAGTTAAAACTGAACAACAGTGCTATAATTATGTGGTCTGAAAGGCTGCAAGGCAAGGAAAATCTATATAAACAGTTTGCAGGTGTAAAGAAGGAAAAGGAGGGGGAAGAAAATGCAGCAGTACCTTTAACATGTTTTTGTTGAAATAGAGGCTGCAGAACCTGCTATCTAATGGTGTCCTCCCACCCAAAAGTTGAAGTCATAGAATCATTATAGATCTAAGGAAGTCATGCTACCCCTCTATTCTGCTTTGGTTAGACCACATCGGGAATATTGTGTCCAATTCTGGGCACCACAATTCAAGAGAGATATTGACAAGCTGGAATGTGTCCAGAGGAGGGCGACTAAAATGATCAAGGGTCTGGAGAACAAGCCCTATGAGGAGCGGCTTAAGAGCTGGGCATGTTTAGCCTGAAGAAGAGAAGGCTGAGAGGAGATATGATAGCCATGTATAAATATGTGAGAGGAAGCACAGGGAAGAGGGAGCAAGCTTTCTGCTTCCCTGGAGACTAGGACACGAAACAATGGCTTCAAACTACAAGGAGATTCCATCTGAACATGAGGAAGAACTTCCTGACTGTGAGAGCCATTCAGCAGTGGAACTCTCTGCCCCGGAGTGTGGTGGAGGCTCCTTCTTTGGAAGCTTTTAAACAGAGGCTGGATGGCCATCTGTCAGGGGTGATTTGAATGCAATATTCCTGCTTCTTGGCAGGGGGTTGGACTGGATGGCCCATGAGGTCTCTTCCAACTCTTTGATTCTATGATTCCATGATTAGAGGAGAGCCCAAGGACCATTTAGCCTAACACCATTCTGCCATGCAAAAAGACACAATTATCAAAGCACCCCTGACAGATGGCCATCCAGCCTCTGTTTAAAAGCCTCCAGAGACAGGGTCTCCACCACACTCCAAGGCAGCAGCTTTTCCCACTGTCGAACAGCTCTTACCATCAGAAAGTTCTTCCTAATGTACCACACTCCAAGGCAGCAGCTTTTCCCACTGTCAAACAGCTCTTACCATCAGGAAGTTCTTCCTAGTGTTTAGGTTGAATCATTTTTTTCCTGCAATTTGAATCCATTGCTTTGTGTCTCTGATCTCCAAAGCTGCAGAAAACAAGCTTGATCCCTTCCTCAATGTGACATCCTTTCAAATATTTAAACATATGGATATCAGGTAGCTTCTCAGCTCAATTCCACACAGGGGTAAAATCTGTTTTGGCATGGGTTTTAGTCTCCAAAAACCACCCAAAACCCCAGCTTTCCCAGAGAGGATAGTTACATGCCATCCCGATAACAACAAGAATGAAAGGAGGACCTTAGTGGTGACCAGGTAAGGTTTTTCTTTTCTTTTAAGGGTTGTTTGGGGAGCTTTGGGGTGGCTGCATGCCATCCCAATAACCAAACTTACCTGGCCACCCTTAAGGTCCTCCTTTCATCCTCCTAGCATGAGGAACTGATGCAACAGGATACAGGGGGAGGCAAGGAGGGATTTTATGCTGTGTGTTATCCTGTGTGGGGTTTGTTGTTGTTGTTGTTGTTGTTGTTGTTGTTTAGTTTCTGGTTGAGGCCCTGTAGAAATAAAATGTATGTAGGGTTTTTTGTATGAAATGACAACTTTCCACACAGAAAAGAAGCTTCCCACTAAGTATAGCATTTCCTATGCAAAAATGTAACATTCT